GACCTGCCTGGCCACCCCAGGTGGGCCAGGTCCCGCGTGTTGCAGGGGATCCAGTGAGACCCAGCAGAGGATCTGCTATGACCCAGCACAGCTCTGACCTGACCTGACCTGCTGGGGAGGACCCAGTGTAGCTAGTAAGGAATCCAGTGTCATCTGGTGTGGGATCCAGCATGACCAGCATGGGATCCAGCTCCCAATATAGGATCAAGTGTGACCCAGTGCCTTGTGCAGATCTACCAGGAACCACCATGGGATCCAGCACAAGCAGTCTGGGGATCCAGTGCCCAAGAAAATCTCTTTTGATCCCTTATGGGATGTAAGATCCTGAAGTAGGATCCACTGTGACCTAAAATCTAGACAGATCCACTGCAATCCAGTGTGGGATCCAATGCCAGGAGGAGGGTCAGGTGTGAGCTAGTACCCAAGCAGATCCACTATGATCCAGTGTGGGATCCAGTGCCTGGAGCACAATCCGGTGTGAGCCAGCACCCAAGCAGACCCACTGTGATCCAGTATGGGATGCAGTGCCTGGAGCACAATCTGGTGTGAGCCAGCACCCAAGCAGATCCACTGTGATCCAGTGTGGGATCCAGTGCCCAGAGCAAGACCAGGTATGAGCCAGCACCCAAGCAGATCTGCTGTGATCCATTCTGGGATCCCGTGGCCAGAAGAGGATCAGGAGTGAGCCAGCGCCCCAAGCAGATCCACTGCGATCTGTTGCGGGATCCAGTGCTGGGAGCAGATCGGCTGCGATCCGTTGCAGGATGCGGCGGCCGGAGCGGGGCGAGGTGGGAGCCAGGCCCTCCGGGACAGGCGAGAGGCCGGAGTGACGGGATCGGCGGTGCCCGGCCGTGCCCCAGGTGGCCGGAGCGGTGCTGACGGGGCTCAGGGACAGCCCGCATCCCGGCGCCCGGTGCCCACCTTCTCCTGCAGCTTCTCGATCTCCTCCTTGTGGGCCAGCTCTGACTCCTCCAGCACACGCCGCTGGGCCGTCTCCTTCTTCAGGAACTCGATCTCCCTGCAGTAATGGTGCCGTCAATGCCTGCCCAGCAAGTGGGGCAAAGCCAGGGCAGGGGGCACCAGAGAAGGGATCTGTGCCCAGCTGGGGTGTCACGGGGGAGAGGGGCCAAGTGTGGCAAGACCCTGGGAGCTGGGGCCTCAGGGAGGGACCATGCTCAGGGGAGGATCCATGCCCAGGGACGAGCCGTGCATGGGAAGGGGTGGTGCCCAAGGGATGGTCTGTGCCCAAAGGATGGTCTGTGCCCAGGGGATGGTCCATGTCCAAGGGGTGGTCTGTGCCCAGGGTATGGTCCATGCCCCAGCAGATACTCTGTGCCCAGGAAAGGATCTGTGCCCAGGGACAAGTGGTGTCTGGGATGGGGTTGGTGCCCAAGGGATGATCCATGCCCAGGAGATGGTCTGTGCCCAGGGGATGGTCCATGCCCAGAGAAGGGTGCTGCCCTGCCCTCACTTTTGCTGGTACTCCTTGATGAGTCTCTTGGCCTTGCTGTACTTGCGCTCCAGGGTCTGGTACTGGGCTTGTGTTTCCTTGAGGTGCTCATCCACAGCCTGGCACAGGTTCTGCGCCTCCATCCAGTACCCCTCCAGCTTCTCCATCCGCTCCTTGTTCTCCTCCACACTCTGCTCCAGCTGGGCCTTCTCAGCCCGCCACCGGGCCTTCTCCTGCTCCAGGCACTGCAGCTGGGGGACAGTGGGCTCAGGGCTTGGCCCTGCGCAGCAGGGCATGGCACGGTGCAGCACGGCATGGTATGGCGCAGCATGATATGGCACGGCATGGCATAGCCAGAGAACAGGCATGGCATGGCACAACCCAGCATAGCACTGGGGGAGTAGGGCTCCAGGGGGAGATTTGGGGGGCTAGGAAGGGTTCAGGGAGGTGGAGGTCCATGGGAAAATGGGGAGATGAAGGGGATTAGGTCGAGGGAGGATGATGGTGCCTGGGCCCCGGCAGGCAGCCCTGCTGCCATACTGGAGCTTGGGCACCCCAGGGCCCCGCTCACCTTCCTCTTGAGCTGCTGGATCTCGGCCTCAGTGACAGCGTGCTTGATCTGGAGCTGGGAGAGGAGCAGGGCATTCACACGGTGTGGGGACAGATTGGGCACAGCCAACCGGGGTCTCCGGTGCAGCCCCCACACATGTGCGCGTATCCACACACGTGTGCCTGCCCCAGCCCCTGCACCCCCCTCACCTCCTTGAATTTGTGCACCAGCTTTTCAGGGTCCATCTCCACGGGGGAGAGCGTGTCCTCGTTCTCGGCCAGCTCGAACACCTCGATGGCCATCTCGCTGCTGGGGAACATGGGGCTCATCTCCTCCTCCTCGTCCGTGGCGTATTCGCCCGTCTGTGGCGGGCACAGAGCAGGGTTGGCATGCAGTGGCCTTACAGCCCAGCACTCACCATCGCCTCCTCCCACCCTGAAACACAGCTCTGCACCCCACTCTCTGCAGGGGACACTGAGACACTGGGACCCATATAGGATGGGGGAACTCAGCCATGGATGAGGGCCACGTCTGTCCCCCACCCTTGTTGAATCCTCTGCCCCCACAGCCAGGGAGGCTGATGCAGGTCATGAGAGCCCCCATCCCTGTGCCCCACGGTGGAGCCATCCCCCTCACCTCCTCATCCTCTTCGGTGTACTGGGTGTACCGCTGCTCGATCATCTCCCGCTGCCACCGCTCCTGCTCCAGGGTCTGTTGGATCAGCTGGGCCACCTCACTCTGCTCACCTGGCTTCTCGCGTCCGATGAGGAACCTGCAGGGACACCCGGGCAGCTCAGCCAGGGGACATTGAGGTGATACAGGCAGGGGACCCCCTGGTGGCGCAGCCAAGGGACTCCCAGGTGGCACAGGCAGGGGACACATGGGCAGCTCAGCTGGGGGACTCCCCTGCTAAGAAACATAGTGCTCCTGCACCCAGTGGTACCAGCCCCTGGGAAGGACAGGGAGGGGGCAGCCCCACAGCACAGCAAGGGATGGGGATGTTGCAGGACCCAAGGGCAGGACTGGGAGGGGTGTTGGGGGGCACTGGTGATTGGGGGTGGCAGATGAGTGGGGGTGCTGGAGAAGGGGGCTGGGAGGATCCTGGAGTGTTGTGAGGCACAGGTTGGGGGGCAGGGAGTACTAGAGGGGCAGAGGAGAGGCTGGGGACATATTTTGGGCATTAGGCTGCAGGGCAGAGGGCGCTACAAGGGTCACAGCATGGCCTGGGAGAGGAAAGCTATGGGAGCATGCAATGGGGCAGGGTGTCAGGGAGGGATAGGGATGTTTCAGGGGGCTCAGCACCAGCTGGGGCTCTCCCTGCCCCCCAAGCACTCCCAGCCCAGGGTCGGTCCATGGAGTGGGATCCCTGGTGTGGCAGCCAGAGCCGGCGCCCTATAATGGGAGCTGTGCCCAGCGATAGTGCTCATCTCGAGTTTGCAAGGGCTACTGGCAGCCCTGGGCACAGCCGCGACGCCCCGGGGTCCCCCCGGGCCCTACCGGACGCGGCCCTTGGTGTTCCTGAGCACGGAGGCTGCGAAGCTCTGCGTCACCCCCACCAGGCTGGTGCCGTCCACCTCCACGATGAGGTCGTTCACCTGGATCCTGGGGACAAAGGGGCCATCAGCAAGGGGACATCCCCTTTCCTACCCCACCCTCTGCGCCCCAGGGGCTACCAGCATCTTGTCCCTGTGCAGGGTGGCCGCAGGGACGAGGAAGTCCACCACGAAGCCATGCCCCCAGCCGCTGCCAGCCACTTTGTGCAGCTGCATTATTAATAGGGCTCACGGCTCAGGTTTCAGCACCATCAGATAAGGGGAATTTGATGCTGTGAATGTGCAAACACGCGTGTGCATGCATTGCGGTATTGATAGCCGGCTGGTCAGCGCTCACTCATCTCCTGGGTGGTGGGAACATCTGGCTGGCCCCTGCTCCCATCTGCCTGTCTCCTCGCTAGCCCCAGCTGAGCTTTTTTTGGATGCAAACTGGCCTCCTTGGGTTTACATCCTCGCTGGGCAATGAGCACGTGGCCAGGTGTGCAAGCATGGCCAGCCAGGCTGGCTCTGCAGGTCAACCCGCAGATGCCACGTGGCCACCAGCACTGAGATCATCAGCCCAGGGGGCTAGTTGCTGACATCCAGGTGGGAAAAGGGGTAAGGATGTGTCAGGGGCTCCCATTGCACGTCCTCCAGCAAAGCGAGCGAGAACGTGGCACAGAGCAGGCTGGGTGCAGGTCCGATTTCCTGCCCTGGTGCTCAGGGCACTTGGGGATGGGAATTGCCATTACCTGCCGTCCCGGTGGGCCGCTCCTCCCTCCGTCACCGTCTTGACGAAGATGCCCAGTTTCTCCAGGCCCATGTCAGCCCCTGCGCCCATGCCGATGATGCTGATCCCAAGCCCTTCGGAGTCTGTGGGGACAGAGAGCCTGTGTCCTCGTGGGGTGAGCGAGTGGGGACACCCAGGGCTGTTGCAGCCCCTCCAGGCAGGGACACCTGCCTGGGCGCAGGTGGAGACTGAGGCCCCAGGAGATGATGGGTGCTCAGCACAGTGAGAAGGGAGACGGTGGCTGGGTATAGGGCCCCTCTCCCTCCCCGGAGGCTGTGCCGTGCCTAGGCTGGCCTCTCTCCTTCCCCGGTGCCTGGGGATCTCCTTTGCTTGGGGAGCCTGCAGTGGGCTGGCTGCCTCTCCCATCTCCCATGGGCACCCCTGGGTGCCTCAGGCATGAGGGAGCCCCGCGGTGGAGCTGGCTGCAGGGGGGACACATGTGAACACGTGAGAACATACATGCATGGCTGCCATGGCACCATGTGTAAACCAGGTGCACGCATACCCGATGTGCAAGGCAACAAGTGTGCAAGGTGTGCAGGGGATGAGGTTGGCAGCCAGGGGCTGGGAGGGTGCAGGGACCCCAGCCCAGCCTGGCCCACCTTTCTCCAGCTCCACAGGGAAGAGATCGAGCCGCTCCACCCTCTTCTCCAGCTCATACTCAGCTGAGGCGGCCATGGGGTCGACATCCTCATTGCGGCGGTCCTAGTCCTCGTTGGAGGAAGTGCTGAAGACCTGCGGGAGGGGGGGAGGGGGGCACTCACCGAGGCAGCAG